AGCAGAAGCATTTAGGAGCTAGAGGAAAGTTGTATTTTTCATCGTTGTTACATCACACCCTGTCTGGCTCTTCTCCTCCCGGAAACCCCTCTGCAAGGGGCTCTCCAGTGGCCTCCAAATGGGCTTTGGGTCTCCACACTCCGCACTCCCCCTCCCATTCACTATGGTAAGATTTTTAGTTCAGATGATGCCTGATACCTGATCCCTTCAACACCTCGTGATTGTACAGGCTGGTGTGTTTCTTCCATGTGGGCTTTGTTGCTTCTGAGCTAGATAGCTGCTTGTTTATTAAGCACTATTGAAGGAGAGATAAACATGGTGCACAGGGGATCAGGATTGAGAGGTGGTATAAAACTAAAATACTGAGAAAGTGACATTTGAGCAGAAATTTAAAAGAGAGGATTCTTAGGCAAACAATGCCCCAAATAGAAGGGCAAGCTAGTGCAACACACCGAAAGTGGGATCCTGCCTTGTGGATCCAACAACAGCAAGTATGGCAGGAGCAGGTCCGAGATGTGTCCTTGCCCCTCAGCTCCGTCTGCCCCCATCAGTAGGTGCTCTGTGACAAACAACATAATTCCTTTAAGCATTTCTTCTTTAAAGTGAGTAGGATAGGCTCTAAAGTTTCTCAATAGAGATTTCAGGAAGGGGGAGCACATTGCTAGAGTGAGAGGATCCCTGAGATTTTTGATGGAGGGCTTGGAGCACAAAGGGTGGGTGGGGAGAAAGGTTAGTCTTGGGGAGGTGAGAACAGCAGGTCGAGCTTCTGTGAGTCACTGTCACAGAGGTGATCCCTCAGGAACCTTGCAGCCTGGGTTTGACAAAACTTGCCCACGAGAAATTACCTACGGGAAATTACCCTCTGGCATAGCATGCACACACCCACTCGTGGCCCAGAGCTTCACACACAAGTGTCACTCTCCCTCCACAAGTCACCAGGTGTTCTGTGAAAGCCTTCTGCACCCACAGTTCCCTGATAGCCACTGCTTGCTCCCCATCCTGCCCTGTGGAAGATGCACTGTGGTTTGCCTACCAACTCCAGCTCCAGTTCCATCGGACTCATTCAGCAAGCTTCCCTGTTATCTTCCGGCCAGAGTACAACCTTCCATGAAGTCTGAACCCTTTCCAAGTTTGTCCTTTCTTGGATACTCTCCCTTGTGGGGGTAGCCAGCCCCCACAACTAATCATGGGTTCATAGGCACAACTGTACGGTTAAGATATATAATAATTATAGTAAAGTCATAGAGAATAGGGAGAGATGTGAGAGAGAGAGTAAAATAAGGAGTCACACACATTTCATGGTAGCATGCTCACCTCAGCTCCTCTTGGTGGTGCATGTGGAGATGGGAGATGAGTGGGCAGGTGAGAGCTCTTGTGAGGTTTTATTTCTAACCAACACTTTGGGGACATGCAAGCCCTCTGATTACAGATAATGACCTACATCATAGGAAGGGGTTGTAACATAAGCAATATAAGCGATAGGAGGGGGATGACCTATGGGTGTACATGCAATAGTAAAAGGAGGTAATAAGGGTACATATGTGACACGATGGGTGGACCCTAGACTCAATATAGTAGCCTAAGCTTAGTCATCCTTGAGTGGTCCCAGGCTTGGCTTTAGGGCACTCCTTCAAGGGAACACTATCAGAAGGGAGTGGACCCTACTTAGGGTGAGTCAGACTATACAGTCTGATTCCTCTAGATGGCTGATAACCCTTAAGGAGAATAACCTCTGACCTACTTTCGTTGACCTGCTAGTGTACAGTCATTGACCACGTGTAGCAAGCAGTGTCTTGGGTTTGGCATATATTTGGGGGAGACAACTTGGGAGAAATCTTTCTGTATCCCACACTCCCTCAGCCCTAAGTACCACATACTCACTGCCATCAAGTTAATTCTGACGCATAGAGACTATTGAGTAATAGGACAACTGCCCCTGTGGGTTTCCTAGACTATAACTCTTTTTTTTTCATGTAAAGATCATTTTATTGGGGACTCTTACAGTTATTAGGACAATCCATACATCATCAGTTATATCAAGCATATTTGTACATATGCTGCCATCATTATTTTCTAGAATTTACTTTCGATTGAGCCCTTGGCGTCACCTCCTCTTTTTTCCCCTCTCTCCCCTCCCCAACCCTTGTGACTCCTTGATAAATTATAAATTATTATTATTTTCATCTCTTTTTTTTTTTTTTTCATCTCTTACACTGACTACCGTCTCCCTTCCCCCATGGTTTCTGTTGTCTGTTCCCCTGGAGGGGTGTGTGTGGTTATATGTCGATCATAGGTTCCCCCTTCCTCCCCTCTATCCCTCCTTTCCCCCACTCTTCTGGTATCGCTACTCCCATTCCTGTTCCTAGATTCTGTGTCATGAGCTCTTATCTCTTATCTGTACCTGTGCGCATGCTCCAGTCTAACCTGCAGTAAAATGTAGTACTAGGGTCATGATAGTGGGGGGTGAGGAAGCCTCAAGGAACCAGAGGAGTATTGTATGTTTCATCAGTGCTTTACTGAACTCTGATTGACTCATCCCTTCCCTGTAATCTCTCTGTAAGGAGATGTCCCATTATGGACTGATGGGCCTTAGATCTCTGTCCCAACCCGCCTTTTCTCAACAATATAGTTTTTTGTTTGTTTGTTTGTTTGTTTGTGGTCTTCTGATGCCTGGTGCGTCTCTGCTAGTTGGCCACTTGTTTAACTTCAAGCCTTTAAGACCCCAGATGCTATATCTTTTGATAGCTGGGCACCATCCACTTTCTTCACTGCATTTGCTTGTGCACCCATTTAGTCTTCAGCGATTGTGCCAGAAGGGTGAGTATCACAGAATACCATGTTGTTAGAACAAAGTGTTCTTGCATTGAGGGAGTGCATGAACAGAGGCCCAAAGCCCGTCAACTACCTCAGTGTATTGCCATATAAATATATGTACCTAGGCCAACAGTTCTATTTTTATGAACTAATGCATTTACGTAAGTGTACATCTATTAAAAAAAATTTTTTTAAGTGTACATCTATGCTTTTACTTCTATCCATAGCTTTGCTTCCTAGATCTTTCCTATTTCCTTTTACCTTCCTCCGGCCCCACCATCACACTCCCCACTTAGTACTTCCTCTCAGCAAGATTACTGTTGCCCCAACACCCCCAGGATCTCTACGTCCTCCTCATTGTTGATTTTAATTTCCTAGTTGTTCCCCTGTCCATGGCGTTGTTTGCTCACGCTCCCTTCCCCCACCTCCTCCCCACAGTCCCTCTGGGACTACTAGGGCTTGAAAGACAAATAAAGAAAATATTTTTTAAATGGATTTTAAAAATGGATGTGATGTAAAATCAACTACCATATAGAATGTCCATCTTTGGCCTACATTTAACTGTTCCTTTGGCCTGAAATGCCATTCTTCTAAACAATTCAATCTCATGGAGTTTGTAGGGAGATCGGAGAAATTAGTGTGGGGACAGGGGGTGTGTTAGACAGGTTTCGCTAGAGAGATAGTTTCGCTAGAGAGATAAAACCAGATTGCTGATAATTTTATATATTTATTTATAAAGATAATTAGATATATAACACAAGAAATAAACTGTTAAATTATATACAGATAGATAGATAATACAAGAAATGAACAGTTAAATTATAAAGCACTACAAATGGCTCAGTGCAACTCACTCCCGTGAGAGAGAGTTGTGAGAGACTAGCAGTCCTTCAAGTCTAGTCTGCTGCCAGATCTTCCTCTATTTATAGAGAGAGCTAGGCTATCTCAGCACAGCAGCCAACTGCAAGGCAGATCACCAACTGTCAACCAACCACCAGTCCCAACTGCCAGTCCCCAGCTCCAGAGATGTCTTAAAGGGGCCTCAACTTACAGTGACACAGTTCACAGGCTAGGCGTCCCACAGATACTGTAACCTCTAAATTGAGGCACAACAAGCAAGGCAGACGCACACTGGTCCGATGATCAAAGAGCGAGAGACAAGAAAGGCAAGGCTCACTGAGTTAATCCCTTCAATTAATCCCACTTGTGTTTATCGGCCAGGCTGGCACAATAAACTATCTCAGGGGGGTATGTACCAGAAGATGAAGAGACAGAAAGAATTATTTTGAGAACAGATAATAAAGCAGTTCCCAGTGAGCCATATGGATCTGGCTACCTTCCAGGGACTATTCATGACAGGCATGGCATTTGAGGCATGTTTTGGTCATGAAGGCGATAAAACCAAATCCCTCGGCTTGCTGACCCTCTCGGAGATAGTCCTACAGCTGTTTCAAGCAGTCTGCCAAAGCCTTCTTGGTCTCGAGATTGAGTCCTCCTTCAGAGGGCTTAGCAGTGAATTTGGGTCCTGGAAATTGAAAACCCAAATAGCCCAAGCGACAGTTAACACAAAGGAGCAGAGGGAATTGGAACAAAGAGATCAAAATATAATCATATGATCGATTAGTTTTCAGTTGAAGTCACAAGAAGGTTAAGAGGCCAGACATGGGCTTCTGTTGGATATGAACAGGTCCAGGGAGACTTACAGGGGTTGCTTTGAGGGCTAACTGCAGAGGCTTTCTCTATTTTTTTTCATATGTTTGAAATGCACTTGAATGTCACTGCAGACTCCAAGTCCACTCCAATTTTACTTTTCCTCTTTTTTTGTCACTCAGCCCAATATTTAGGTCTGAGGTGTGAGGAATCTGTGTTTGCTTGTTTGTTTTAAGGCTGTTAGCCTTCATACTTGCTTGTTGGTGTTTGGATTTTCAAAAAGCATGTTCTACATAGTTACATAGCCCATTTCAACATATGGAATCAGTAATAATATCCAATTAAATGCCCCATAAATGTGGTTTTCTTTCTTTTTCCCCCTGTCATCCTCCTTCCCGCCCTCTATAATCTCCTATCTCCCCCTCTCCCTGGCCACATCATACTCTTCAAAGTCTGTTGGGGACCATCCTGCACAACTGAATGGGTCCCTAAAAGGTGGTTGTGTAATTGAAGGGTGAATTAAAGAAAGGCAGACAAGATGTGTAAGGGCTCACCTCTTCCTATGGCAGGATCAAGAGAGTGAGAGAGAATGCATTCTCTTAACAGGCTTATATAATCTTGGGCATGCAAGCCTGTTAAACGTATGTAACAGGGAGGGGATGTCCTAGGGCAGGGGTGTCAAACTGGCAGCCCAGGGGCCGCAGGAGGGCCCCCCCCCAGGGAATTTTTTGTGGTCCATGATGCTTTGAAATAAAATGAAAATAGAAAAAATTGCTATGAAGAAAATAGCACTTAGGGGAGATGGAGGCAATACTGTACACACAATTTCCTCGTTAACCCTGTAACTACTGAAGACGAGTGTACACGTGGCCCAGTGCCTTTCCTGGGGGCCTGTGGACGTGTATAAACTCGCTGACTCAGTTCAGGCGACTTTTGGAAGCGATATTTCTGCCACTCTCAGTGTCTCGTAATGTTAATAGACCCCAATAGCGAAAAGGTTAAAAAGAGCACTCTGGGTTGTGCTGTTATGAATCATACCTAGCGGTAGCGCTAGTTAACATTTTTAGAGGGAAGCCATTAATATTGTGCATCACATTTGTCTGCTGTCCAACATTTTGTGTTTTTATTAGTTATATTGTTATAATTTCCGGTCACAACATAAGAGGTAAGTGAAAACTAGTAGGAGGAAAGCTCTGGCTAGTTTCAGGTAAAAAATAATAATTTTAGTTTTATAAATACATTAAATAAAATACATGTTTAAATAAAAGTAATTATATAGTGTTTTGATGATCCTATCCATATTTCTGAATCATCACTTCAAAACGTAACAAAATTTGTAAATGTGATGTGGCCTGCGTGAACCTTGCCTGTTGCACCAAATGGCCTGTGTTTTCATTGAGTTTGACACCCCTGACCTGGGGACATACAGGTAACAGGAAGGCACATACATAAGAAGATGGGTGGGTTCTATCTAGAGTTAAGAGGATGGCTTAACTTGGTTGTCTCTGATCTGGCTTGACCTTAAGTGTCCCTGAGAGCTTCTCCAGCTCTTCTCTATGATCCGCATCAGAAGGAGTGTGCACTACTACTTTTAAAAAAAGGAAAGGAAATCAAGCGTGACCAATGGTTACTATGGGTGAAGGAGGAAGAGTTTTTGCTTGGGGGGCATTGAGTTTCTGTGAATGGTGATGGAATAATTTGGAAAAGGATATCAATAATGGTTGTAGAACAGGAAGAGTATAATCAATGGCACTGAATTATACATGTAGAAGTTGTTGAATTGGAGAATGTTTTGTGCATATTTTTGCTACAATTTTAAAAATAATCGCAAGAATAACAATGAGTACAAGGAAGAAGAAAATGTTCTAAAATTAAATGTGGTGATAATTGCACAACTCTTCTCGATATGATTGAATTTTAGTTGTGTGACATATGGATGAAGTGCCCATAAAACTTAAAAATAATAAGAATAAAATCTAAGACTGAAGAAAGAGCCCTGTTGGTGTAGTGGTTACACATTGGCCTGTGAACTGCTGGTTGGCAGTTTGAAACCACCAGCTGCTCTGAGGGAGAAAGACTGGGCTTTCCATTCCCATAAATAGCTACTGTCTCTGAAACCCACAAGGGGGGTTTTATTAATCAGCATTGGCTCCATGGCAGTTAATGAGAAGGCTGAAGAAGGGAACAGTATTAGAGCTTAAATTCTGAGCACCCAGTTTGAAGAAAGCTATGAGTGACAATAAAAGGCCAAAACCATCTGCATAGTCCCCATGTAGATTAAGCTTCTGGTCAATCTCCTCTGCTCATAGACCAGAGAGGTGACTAGCCTTGCTATCAGACAGAGTGAATTGGGGATTATTTTATATGTGGTTAGGTTAAAATATAACACTTTATCATTTGATCTCCCCTTTGACCCATTTAAAATTTGTTCTAGTTTTTTTCTAGTATTTTCTGCTGTTTTTAAGTGAGGTTTTTCTTGGTTAAGAAAATGCTCCAAAATTGATTGTGGTGATGACCATGCAACTTTAAAAAGTATGATTGAACTATTGAATTGTATGCTATGTGACTCATATGCCAATAAAACCATTAAAAATTCTTCATGAACTGATGGTGCCCGGCCTATCAAAAGATATAGAGTCTTGGGTCTTAAAGGCTTGATGGTAAACAAGTGTGGCCATCTAGCTCAGAAGCAACAAAGCCCACATGGAAGAAGCACACCAGCCTGTGTGATCACGAGGTGTCGAAGGGATCAGGCATCATCAGAACAAAAAATCATATCATTGTGAATGAGGAGGAGTGCGGAGTAGAGACCCAAAGCCCATCTGTAGGCCACTGGACATCCCCTTACAGAAGGTTTGTGGGAAGGAGACGTGCCAGTCAGGGTGCAGAGTAGCAACAATGAAACATACCCCTTTCCTCTAGTTCCTAAATGTTTCCTCCCTCCACGCCCCCTCCACTATCATGATCCCAATTCTACTTTACAAATCTGGCTAGACCAGAGGATGTACACTGGTACAGATAGGAACTGAAAACACAGGGAATCCAAGACAGATGATCCCTTCAGGATCAGTGGTGAGAGTCGCAATACCAGGAGGGTGGAGGGAGGATGGGGTAGAAAGGGGGAAACGATTACAAGGATCTGCATATAACCTCCTCCCTGGGGAACGGACAACAGAAAAGTGGGTGAAGGGAGACATCAGACAGTACAAGATATGACAAAATAATAATTTATAAATTATCAAGGGTTCATGAGGGACGGGGAGCAGGGAGGGAGGGGGCAAAATGAGGAGCTGATGCCAGGGACCTAAGTGGAGAGGAAATGTTTTGAGAATGATGAGGGCAATAAAAGTATAAATGGAGAGAAAATGTTTTGAGAAACGATGTACAAATGCGCTTTACACAATTGATGTGTGTATGGATTGGGATAACAGTTGTATGAGCCCCTAATAAAATGTTTTAAAAAAAAAGAAAGTATAAATGTGCTTTACACAATTGATGTGTGTATGGATTGTGATGAGTTGTATGAGCCCCTAATAAAATGGTTTTAAAGCAATTCTTCATGAACTTTTATAAGACTGATGGATTTTAATGATCTGAACAATCAAACTATCATTGAGGAAGGCTATAAGGATGTAATTCCAAAAAGTTGAACCCATAATGTCTAGTCAACTGATTTTTCCTAATTAGGCATCGTGAATCACTCATCCAAAGATGTAACTCCATTGTACTCTATTCTTATTTTCAGACTGTAAGCTTAATAGGCAAACAGAATTAAGGAGATCATGTACGAGAAATTCAAAGAATCTAGAAAGGCAGATCGAGCTAATTTACAGCTCCTAGGTGGTCAAATGAAGAACAAGAGATGGCCTTCGCATAGAGCCCCCAAGGCAGCGCCGGGTCAGTGAAATGGTCCCAAGACGGACCAATAGGCCCCGCCCCCGAGCCGCTAGGCCGCGCCCCCGCCGGAACTTGACCCGTCCGCCTATCCGCCGCCGCGCTGCACGTAGACGAGCCGCCCCCTAGTGACGGCAATATGGCTGCGCCCCGCGCGCTCTGACGGCCTTCTCGCCCAAGGTCTGGCGCTTCTGTCGTGCCGGGATCGGGCTCTCGCCGCCTCAGATCTCCTCCACTATGTTTTCCCTCCGACTCTGTGGTCGCCGGGTCGTGGGCTCCTTCGCCAAACCGCGCCTTTCGTTGGCTCGGCTCAGCGGAGGCAGCGGGGCGCCCAGGTCTCCGCACTTTGATGTCGTTGTCATCGGCGGAGGACACGCCGGGAGCGAGGCCGCCGCCGCTGCCGCGCGGTGTGGCTCCCGGACCCTGCTCCTCACGCACCGCGTGGACACCATCGGTGAGGAGCGCGGCGCGCGGGGTGCGCTGACCGTCCGGAAACTCGCCGGGGCACTTTTACCCTGTCCTGTTGGGACGCTGTGGGCCGGCATCGATTCGGTGGCAGTGATTGGGCTTTGGTTTGTCCCCCAAACTGGCCGGAGAGGGGCACCCTCTTCCCCACCCCAAGATCTGCGAGCCACCCAGCACCAGTGGTTTTATCCTTCCTTGATGCGCTCCTGGCAGCAGTTAGGCGGGCAGGGCCAAACTTTGGACGGTCTGTGCTGTGGACCCAGGGGTGTGCTGGCGGCCGACCGGAGCAGTCCCCGGGGACAGCAGGCGTCCACGACTGCTCGTGGACGGCTTCTCACCCTCCCCGCCACTGCCTTGTGGCTTTGGGTAAAGGATGGATTCACATTATGAGTCATCGCAGCGGTGGTCTCAGATTTAGGGAAGCCCTTCTGAAGAAAAATGCTGTTGCCGCGTTCCACCGGTTCTTTGTTGCCCCGTTGTGTGTGTAGAGTATGATAGTGTGTGTTTTCCTCTCGTGTGGGTGCACTGGGTGGCCCTAGTTGAAAGCAAGACCGCTCTCCTGTGTGATGACTGCTAGCTAAAACGACGTGCTGTAATTTATGGATGTCTCTATCTCTTGCCCCTTTTTGCAAGAAAATCCACTGTCTAAAGTTAATTGCAAATCCCAGCAGCCCTGCTGTGTAGGGTTTCTGAGACCTAAATGTTTCCGCAGGAGAAAGCCTCATCTTTCTCCCACAGGACCTGGTGAGTTTGAACTGCCGATCTTGGAGTTTGCACCCCAATACCTAATAACCCACAGTGCCACCAACGCTCCTTTTTTTTTTATTAAAAAAATAATTTTATTGGTGGCTCTTAAGCTCTTTATAACATTCCACCTTTTTTTTTTTAACTTGAGTGAGTAGTAATTGACAAATTAACTGATCTGTAAAAATAGTAAGTAAATTACATACTTGTATTCTTACATACTTTTATAAAATTACCATTTAGCTTGCAATTGTAGAGGAATATTATCAGAGACCTTCCGCTTTCTTCATTGAGTGCTGCAGTGTTATTTACATTAAAAATAATAATTAAAAATAGTTACTACCTGTGATTAAAAAATGATCTAATGAGCTAAAAATATTATTGAACAAAGTGATCATTAAATAGTATAAGTAATATAGTGTCAGGGATAAAGGGATTCTTATCAAACATATTTACTGACAATATGATCTAAGTTTCTTGTTTAAACAAATATATTTGAGAGATACTCGCCTTAAAATCAAACTCACTTTTTTTTTGAGATAACTTGACATAGTGGAATAAGATGAAGGGGCCCTGGTGGCACCATGGTAAAAGTGCTCACTTGCCAACTGAAAGGTCAGTGGTTCAACTCTACCAGTGACTCTTGGGTGGGGGTTGGGGGTTGGGCAAAAAATGTGAGTCTGCTTCCCTAAGGATTTGCAACCTGGAAACTTTATGGGGCAGTTCTTTTCTGCCCTTTAGAATCGCTGTGATCCTAATCCACTCAGAGGCAACAGATTTTTAGAGTAAAACATTAAATTCTTTTTATGCTTAATGATATGCTGAATTAGTAACTACGGGGTACAAAGTTGGTTGCTTTTATATAAGCTCCACGATATAATAAATGCTTATCATTACTTTGTGCATACTGATTTTTTATTCAAAAGATAAAAGAGCACTTTTCTAAGATGTCCATGTATGGATGCTTGAGGAAAGAATAACTTCAATTAATTATAGTCACGTGATTTGTAAAGATAAAAGGTCAAGACTCGGAGAATATTTTATAGGGACCTGAATGTATAACCTTTGCATGTATCCTTTCACATTTATAATTTAGTTATTTCTTCAAGGTAGGAGCAAAAAGAAAGCTGCAGATTGTTTACATGAAAGGACATAATTGATTGTAACAGGAACCTATATCAAGCAGCATCTTAAAAATGTGCTTGATTTAGAAAGTCTTGAGGTACGGCTTTCAAAGTTGTATTTAAATGAAACCTTAAAAATATATATCAACAGAATGATCAAAAGAAGATACTGTGGGTTATCTTCTAGGATGCCCCAAATAACTTTCACATCCCCCTAGGATATTGAGATTTTTCTCTTTGATTATTATCTAGGTTTTCTGTCTTTATCTTCTAGTGTGATTTCAGTCACCTGAGTAGACATTTCCTTATCTGTTACTATGTACAAGATGTTAATAAGTGTATTCTATTTGTTTATGTACCTTTAGGTCAAATGTCCTGTAATCCTTCTTTTGGGGGCATTGGAAAGGGGCATTTAATGAGGGAAGTTGATGCCTTGGATGGCCTCTGTTCTCGAATCTGTGACCAGTCTGGTGTACACTACAAAGTATTAAACCGGCGCAAGGGACCAGCTGTGTGGGGTCTAAGAGCTCAAATTGATAGGACACTGTATAAACAGAACATGCAGGTAAGAATAGGACATGAGAACAAGAAAGATTATGGTACTGCAATGGAAAGTTTTATTGCTGCTTTTCAATTTACGCCCTTTCTTGATAGAAAGAAATCCTGAATACTCCACTGCTTACGATTCAGGAGGGAGCTGTAGAAGATCTTATTCTTGTGGAACCAGAGCCTGGACACACAGGGAAATGCCGTGTAAATGGCGTTGTTTTGGGTATGTGCTGGTCATAGAGGATAATTGCACATGACACTCCATATGATGAATTTATTGTAAAACCGAGACTGGAGCTATTTTGCTTCTTTTAGGAGATTGTTGTTTTCTCTTTAGGAAAATTGTGTAAATAATCTTGTTTCTCTTTTCATTTAGATCTTCCTGAAGCTCAGTCCTTGGCTATAGCATTTTAGTATAGCCCCATATAGTCTAAATATTTATGTCTTTTCCCTCTGTTCTTTTTTTTTTTTTTAGCTGTTCTTGAGTGTTATTTCTATTTTTCCTAATTCAGACTTTTAATTTTTAACACTTTCAATTACTAGATATCTTGTTTCTAAAAACTGAAATGTTGTCTGATTTTAGTGTTAAAATAGACACCATTTCCATTGATTCATGTGAAAAGCTGCCGTGTAGAGTTGATTGGACCCTTTTCGCCATCATCTAGCGGATGGAAGCACGGTATATGCTGAGAGTGTGATTCTGACGACTGGCACATTTCTGAGAGGCATGATCATTATTGGATTGGAAAGGACTCCGGCAGGACGGTTAGGAGACCAGCCTTCCATAGGATTGGCTCAAACCCTGGAGAAGTTGGGGTTTGTCGTAGGGAGATTAAAGACTGGGACTCCACCCCGAATTGCCAAAGATTCCATTAATTTCGGCATTCTGAACAAGCAGATGCCAGACAACCCATCCGTGCCTTTCAGCTTTCTCCATGAGACAGTGTGGATTAAGGTAAGGTGATTCTGAAAATCTGTTCATAGCAAGAAATAACTTAGCTTTCCCCCCCCCCCACAATTCAGTTTATGTCACTTGTTTCAAATATGATAACATGATCCTTTAAAGGATTAGCAAAAATATTTTGGCTAATTGGATATTTCTCCCTAAATTTAAATTTTTCATTATTTTCTGTAACTTTTCCTATTTTTAAACAGCTTTATCGAGGAAAAAATTCCCATATATAATTCATCTTTTTTAAGTGTACAGTCCATGATTTTGAATATACTCACAGAATTGTGTACACATCACCACAGTGGATTTGGTTTTTTGTTTTTAATCATTTTATTGAAGGCTCTTACAGCTTTTATCACAATCTGTATGTATATCCATTTTGTCAAACACATCTGTACATAAGTTGTCATCAACTTTTTCAAAACATTTTCTTTCTACTTGAGCCCCTGGCATCAGCTCCTCATTTTTACCCCTCCCTCCCCC